AAGCTATTATAAGCAAATCTCCTCAAAGGGCTGGCACAGATGGCACACAGTTTCACACACAGTTGTAATAATTCATTTGGTTTATATTTTTTGACAACTGCTCTGCAAACTGTTGGGCATGCAAGATGCAGAAGCTTCATCTGGGATTGTGTCATATTAAATTTAAACTTTCTCTCCCAGCTCGAGCACCGCCAGCAGCCATCCAGGATCCATACTAGCAACACATAATCTAGTTAGAGCTATGGCGCTCACTCTCAGTGCAAATGTTTTATTGTTTGTTTGGTTGGTTTTTGAAATATATAAATGCTGATTACATTAAATAAATGTTATCATACTTTTGTAACAGTTTTTAATCATGAAATTATTATTTGTTTATACAGCTTCATGTCTAGTTCACAGACTGTCTCAGATATATAAAGATGCCAATGTACTAAAACCACCAATGCTATAGTGGGTGTCTCCAAGATTAGATTTTGCCAGAATGACGCACAAACACATGCACACATACACACACACACAAACTCACAAGGTGAAAACAACAACCAGACAGCTGCAGAGGGCTCATATAGCAGATTAAGATGCTGTATTCCGCAAATATATTAAAAAGTAATGGACAAGGACAATGCCATACTCAGCAAACATAAGTTGGACCACATCCATTCTTTAACTTGACCTTCATTTTGTTCTGAGCTACAGATCTGTCAAGTCCAGTGACTGTGTCAATATCAGGCTGCAGACATTTAGAGTGACAGGAAAAATACAAGCAACTGCCTTTGTTGTGGGTTTTTTTTCTAATGAAACTAGGTGTTTCCAGGAGCACATTTTGCAATGATGGCACCCTATACTGCACATAAAGATGTGTGTAGCCTTCCAACACGATTTTATAAGAAAATGAAACTACCAGAGCTATAACATCAGTATACACATTCCAAACTAACCAATAATTTTAATAGTTTTAGGTCTATTTTATTAAAATGTAATGCTCATATTTAAAATTATGGTCCCACATTAAATGACAAAGCAGGGTATATTTTTAGGCATAGCTACTTTTTGACTGACATGTCACTACCATATGAGCGCAACATCACAAAACATGTTGCCAATGGGAGAGCAAAGTGTCCAGGTTATCTTGCAACAATATGCAAATGTACAAGTACACAGTCTGCCAAAATGAGAGCACATCAGGTGGTCAAACCCTAATGAGGCTGTCAAAATAACAAAAACAGTGGTATAGTAAGACAGCATAAGCACACATTTTACAGTTGAGTTTCAACAGCATGCTAATCGATATGTTTCTATATAAGGGTGAAGTCTTCTGTCAGAAAATTGATGGAGACTGTTGGGTCTTTGAGGTTTTGAGCAGTGGTTGTCTGCTTAAATCTCACAGCTCAGGTAGAGTAACAAACAAGTCTGAAGTATAAATCTTAAATCCGTGTATAACAGGTGATCAGCAGAAGAGAAAGAACAAAACATTTTTTAAGTTCAGATCCTCACTGATCTGCGAGTTAATAAGGTTGCTATGCCATGTGCTGAAATGTATGCATGTTGTTTTATCTGCCTGCCACAAGAGGCTGCAGTTATTTATTAAAGTCAAAGGAATTAATTTGATTTGCAGCCACCTGTGGGCAGCAAAGAAACATTAATAGCTATATTTATACAGACATTTCATATTAGAGAGGAGTAAAGATAAATAATACTAAAATAATGTGAAAAACAAAACATGAATGCGATTTGTGAGTTGCATGGCTGAGTGTGTGTACTTGTGAGTAAAGAAACACACAGTTTGCTCTGCAGTTTCTCTTGTGGACTGATATTGGAACATGAAGCACCCCAACAACTAATTCTGGTGCTTGCATTACATCCATAGCACCTATGCTAGCATTTGCCAACTATTATCCCCCCTCTCTCCAACACTAATATACAAGTAATATCAATATTAAGGACCAGAAATTCATCAGATCCAAGCACTGAGGATGAAGACTCACTGAAGAGTTACACGACAGAGGCAAAACTTTGGCTTTCTGCTCCAGGTGTTTCACTCACGCCTTTATTCTCATAACATCTCTAACTGCCATTCCCATTAAAATTAATGCTTCAAGTGATGACTATCACTACAAAAAAATATCACATGCTTTTATTCTTTGCTTTCAGCAGCTGGTAGTTAATTGCTGGCTGCAAGCCTTAGTAGATTTTCTAACTCACTGAATCCAAGTTTTGCACTCTAATAGGGAAACTCCCACAAATACATATGCTGCAGCAGAAATAACGGTGTCCACGCCTTTCTGTCACAAAGATGCCAAAACTAATTTATGCTGGTGCAAACTGTTCCTTAAACTGGCCCTGTGCCTTTTTATGAAGCTAAATTGATGTTTTTAAATCAACAATCTAAACAGCTAAAGGACTTCTAAGCACCAATTTATCACTTAGCCAAAACCTCGTCGTTCATTGTCGATATAGTCATATCTTTTCGCTCCCCCTATGGGATAAGATCTGTTCCAAGACCTGCGAGAGAGTAATCATGAATCTTAATCCTCCTCACCATGTGAGCTGTATGCCTTCAGTCACTTCTAAAAACCCAAAAGTGACCACAGCTGAAGGTCAGAACAAAGACTATTGTTTAAGAGCTGGCTCAGCTCTCCTTTCTCCCCATCATCGCCCACTTCAATCTCACAGTCCTTTTTACTGTCTCTGAACTGAGTCATCCTAAGGTAGAGGAATGGGGGAAAAAAATTTGAAGATAAATTGGCAATCTGTCACTTAGACACATGATGAAAAAAAATAAAAAATAAAAAAATAAAAACCTTTAAGAAGCTGTTTTCTGGATTGCAATGAAAATGTCAGCAACCAACAAACCAACTGCTTGTGTTTAGACAATTTTTACAGTAAATAAATAACTGGTGTTTTAAATTTAATTGCTCTAAATTAACAGCACAGTTTTACCGGCTTCTCCAGCCACAAGTGATAAATGTTGCTGTTCACCATCAGCAAAGGAAAAGCTGAATCCACATTTTTATATAGCTCTACAACCCCATGTATTGTACATCACTGCACTATCTCTAAGTCAACAAGCAATTGCACACTCTATGGAGATACTGCATGTACCACAATTGAAATGCGCCCCATGTGGACCCAGAAAATGCGCTGTGGTCTCAAACTGCTGGTCCCGACTGCATCACACTCAACGTCAAACCACTTGAGTGCACATCAGAAATGACAGTTGGTTGAGGCTCCATGGACAACATCATTGAAAAACAGCAGAGGTGGCACCCTAATGTCACCAAACTGGCTGTTCTCCAGACCTCGGCTGTACTTCAATGTTAGGTCCATGAATATTACATACAGGGGGAGCAGACAAGCAGCCTTGTCTGAGTGTGATGCCCAGCTAAATGTGCTTGACTCAGGGCCAAATACACAAACAGAGCTTTCACCCAGGCACAGGGTCAATTGCAGCAGACACCATGGCTGCTCATACTGCCCAGAATGTAGTGCATGTTTTACATCACACATGCATTGACTTGAGGACTTGTTCAAACTGCTACGGTTTTGTTTAATGTGCAACATCCACAGGTAGGCTTCAAAGCAGCACTTCCTTCTTTTCCAGTTATTAGGAATTAATTGAACTGAGACAAGGCTTGATTTATTTACTTATTTATTTATTTTTGCCAGAAATAAGCATCCAAGGAAGGAAGCTGATCAGAAATTACATGCAATATATGTTTCTCCTTTTTCTAGTGAAATTCTACAAAATAAAAAGTCGTGAACATATTCATATTTGGAATAAGCAAAGCAAAGCAAAGAAAGGAACGTAAAACAGCGGCTAACTGTAGGTTAAAATCTTAATTTTCCTAGGTCGAATCCAATTAATAATGAATGAGTAGTACTGCAGATCCTTGTGTATTTAGCTATTTAGCTTTTGTCACCATGACAATTTTCAGTCCCAGTGAGGCAGGCAGCTCAGCATTTATCTCATCTTGTTCAGGTGGACCTTCACCATGGTACACTGGGCAGATATAATATTGGTCACTCAGTCCAATTCTCTTCCCAGCTGCAGCCACAAATTGTGTGCTGCAACGTCCATGTCACATCACTGAATATGTGACTGTATGTGCACGGAACATGTACACGCAGAAGAACATGCACACATATGCTAATGCAAATATATGTGGAGCATGCTTAGAGCATGCATTAATTCGTGTTAAACCAATTCAACTAAAAGATTGAACATATCAATTAAACATTTATCAAGTTGAGAAATCAACTTCATTGAGGGAATTATGAAACAATTTTGCCAATATTTGTGCTACAAATTAAAAACTAATATATATATATATATAGTCAAAGCGCAAAGATATCCTTTCACTTGTTTTTCAGTCTGTGGACATAATTTCCTTTTACTCTCTTACAGCGACAAAAATAGGAACAAGTCATGCTTTTAACTGTGGCTTTTGTTTAATCTTCTGTGTTTGTTTTTTAAATTCCAAGCGCACATCCAGGGCGACAAAGATACCCCCAACTTAAAGCTTTTGGGAGCTGTAGCCTGAGGTGCATTGATCCTCGGGCTTGACTCCTGTCGGTGCAACGTCGATATGTCAGGGAAAAAAGCAGCCCCGCTTGTCGCGAGGGGGGATTGATTTCAACAGAAATGCCACGAGAGAGCTTCCAAACCCTCTCCTCTGCCGTTAACTCTAATATAAACTCATTGGTCTACATAAAGCCACATGGCACCCGGTGGAGTGCAAATCGCCTTTAAACTCCTCAGGAAGTTGAGGCGGATCATGGTTCCGCACTTCACACTTAAGAAAATACACTCGCAGCTCGCCTCTTCGCGTTGTTGGCAAAACTGTATCAAGCGCAACACTGTCCCTTGTTTCCAAACAAAAATCAGCTTCGCCTTGAAAAACGGAACAAACTGTTTACTGTTGCCGGGATCGTTACGTCCCTCACAGCTGTCTGGTCCGAGCCCCCTGACTTGAAGATTAGAAAGTAAAGTGAGTACTTACAGAAAGAGAGGAAAAGCAAACAGCCTGCCACTTTGTGACCGACGTGTGGGCTGTTCGACAGCATCCCGGGAGAGTCGTATTTGAGCTGTGTAGGTGGTGGAGGAAGCTCGCAGAGCATGGGCTTTCTGACTGTTAAAAAACAAACAACTGGGCTTTTCCTTTTCACGGAAAACGGGGAGTAGATCTGTGCTCCGGCAGGAGGCATCGCCACTTTCTGTACGAGGCGCAGGGACGCGCTCTGCTGGCGGGATGAATTCACTGAGCTCAGCTGACAGGCTGCCCGGCCAGATGGTAGAAAAAACAGAAACGCTTACTGGAGGCTAACTGCTGCTACCTTCAAGTGCTCCCGTGAAACTCCCGACTTAGCACTAGAGCTGGAAATACATCTTACCGAGCAGTCTTTTTTTAATCAAAACGTGTTCGAAAAGGTCAATGTAGGTTTATCAAAGGTTATAATTATAATTTTAATTAAATGAAATAAAAAATAAGCCGTGAGTTTCTTAAAATTTAACCCATAGCTCCAACTAAAGCATAGCAATAACTTTAGAGAATTCAAAATGCTAAAAAAAAAAAAAAAAAAACACCCAAATAACCCAACTATTTAAAGTTTACTGTTAATTAACGGAGAACCAAATCCACACAGTTAAGAAGCTGATACCAAGAAATGTTCGCCAGCCTGTTAGAAATGTTATGTTTACCTGAGTAACTAATCGGTTATGTAGTTCCAATTCTACTCTGGAGATAACTGTTCAGTTTTGTCACTTCCTCCCCCACAGTAAACATTTGTCATGTCTTACCAGAAGAAATCACACGGGCAACTAGTGACATGAACTAATTGGTTCCAGTTATGCCTTCTTATAAACCATGCCATTGGGTCAGCTTAGATAATTGCCGGATCCTGGAACTGGGACGCCTAAGTAGGATGCAGCCGTTTTTAGAATTTCATCGAGTGGTTTCCTTGCTTTATGTTGAAATATATTCCTGGAAAATGTCAGTAAGAGGTCACAACTTACATTCATGATAATAATGATGTGCAGACTGCACTGCAGACTGTTGGTTTTGCACATAAAGAAACCACAGGGAGACTTTTATCAAAAACTCTCCACACTCACCCAACACTTCTTTGTAGATTTTTATAGATCTCCATAAAGCAGCTGTCTCCATGTTTCTGACTCACATTTTGCAAAGCCTTCATTTTTCACGTTGTTTTTTATACACGCCATTAGTTGTTTTGTTGTTGTTGTTTTTTTAGGTGCACTTGTTCAGTTATTTGCTAATGCAAATATCTTATATCTCAAATATCAGTTAAGACTATTTAGGCATATATTCATATATGACCTGCTGAAGATCAAAATGATACCACTGTTGTTGGTATCAAACAGGCTGCTCTGAGTACTTCACTAACTGCTGATCTACTGAGAATTGTTCAAAAGAACAAAAATAAAGGGAGTAGCAGTTCTTTGGGAAACTGTAGCAGTTCTTTGGTGAAAATGCCTTGTTGAGGTCAGAGGAGAATGACTAGAATGCTTCAAGCTGATGGGAAGCCAAATAACTCAAATAACCACTCGTTACAACCAACTGAACATAAAGCAGATGGGTTATAGTAGAAGAAGATCACTTTGAGCACCACTTCTGTCAGCTAAGAAGAGGAAACTGAGGCTAAAATTCAAACTGACTCACCAAAATTGTACAAAAAGAAGAAAGAAAAAATGTTACTTGGTGTGACGAGGCTTGATTTCTGCTATGGCATTCAGATGGCCGGGTCAAAATCTGGTACAAACAACATGAAAGCATGGATCATGATGTCTGCTTCCAACAGGATAATGCACCATGTCGTGAACTCAAATGATCTCATACTAGTTTTCTGAACAATACGGTAAGTTCACTGAATTCAAATGACCTCCGCAGTCACCGCATCTCAATCCAAACAGAGCACCTGTGGGGTGTGGTGGAACAGAGATCGTGCTCATGTATACACAGCTCACAAATCTGCAGCAATTGTGATGCTACCATGTCAATATGGACCAAAATTTGTGAGGAATGTTTTTAGCACCTTGTTGGATTTGGGCCATGAATTAAAAGGCAGTTCAGAAGGCAAAAGGAAATCCAACCCCATACTTGCAAAGTATATATAATGAAACTGGTGAGTGTATGTAAGTTCAATTAAAAAAAAACCCTTCTTTAGCTCTTTCAATGTCGTTATAGTGTTGCGCATCTAGTTTACTGTTTCCATTTTATTATGTCTTACTGTTTCCTGCTATGACAAGAAACGTATATCTAGTAAAACACCTGCAAAGTCAATGTGCATTTTTGCCTGATTACACTTCTCCTGAACAGACTCTGGTTCCTTCATATCTGGAGTTAATTTGAACTTGTGAGAGTGGGACAGCTTACACCTTTATCATTCTAATTAGGAGACAGTGGATTAGTTACGTCATTAAGTCCCAGCAAAATGTGAGCAGGGGCCTAATTAGCACAATAACTTAAAGCCCTTATGTGCTGGGTTTGAAACTGTGTTATGTCGTAACATAGCCGTTACCAGCTGCATAACCATATTACTTGGTTCTATTGAGAATATGGTAATATTGAGCTTCTTCTGTTATGGTATGAATAGCCAAATCAATAGCTTTCTGTAGCCATGTCAATATGTTGTAAAATGTGACGTTATGGGAACAGATCTAAAAGTTGAGGGGACATTTTTGCATCTGAAACAGAAGCTTAACTAATATTATAGCATGTTAGCTATATTGCATTTTAGTTGGGGGGGGGGGTTTTTTTTTAAAGTTTTTTTCTCTTGTATATGTTTTTCAGATTTTTCTCTTCATTTTTTTCATCCTTGGAAAGGGAATGCTTTTCTGAGGGCTGCAATGTAGCTTTGCTGTTAATGATCCTGTACAAATTAGGCATCTAAGATCAGCAGTAGTTTAATTGTTTTATTGTTATTTGCTTATTGTGATTTAATGGGGGGAAAAAAAATCACTGTTAAAACTAAGACAAGTAATGAAAATCAAAATGTCTTTTTTATCATTATACAGAAGAATAGGCCCAATTGACTTTAAATTTCAATTGGTGGCAGCACCTCTGTGCTCCAAACTCCATAAATGTTACATTTTGGCAACTGGGGTGGCTCAAATTCACTGCTTTCTGTTATTCATCTTTCACGTGGGATGTGAGAAACACATTTTTCAACATCCTGTGAAGGCAGCATTCATTCAGATGCACTTTGACAGATCTGTCCAGATTTGTGACTATGAACACAGCTAGAAACAAGAAAATCAGGACAGTGTCTTATTTTGTTTTTTTCCCTCCAGTGACAGTACATGAAAGAGCAAGTTGTGAACAGTGACGGTGACTTGATTTTACAGAGACAAAGTAGACTTGACTGGTTTCTAAGTGCTAACATAAGAAGCAACTTGCCCCCAGTCTACTGTTACTGAAGTTACTACATGTTCTGTCTATATTAAACATTAAACGATAACATTAACATGTTTTTGTGTCCTAAATGTGTAACTAATGCAAATTTCTGGAGAGCTTTAACCTGTAATTATAATGTTATTAACTATAAACACAAACTATTATACGATTTAATAGTTACTGTAATCAAAAAACAAATCAGATGTGCATAACCTCCCCTGGGTTTCTCTTCTAATTATTGTTAACATTATATTACAAACCCTCATACTTTCCCAGTTAGAGAAGGACTGGGGCCTATTCAGTCCGAATGATGTGTAAGTGATGAATGAGTGAATGCATGTGTAAGAAAAAGGATGATGGATTGCAGGTTTTAAAGTTCTCCATGGATATTGTTTCTACGGTGGTCCAGAAGAAAAAAATAAATACCATAGTGACAGTTTACTTGATGAACTACACACTATGCACACTATCTCATTCCCTCATTTTTCATTGTATGTCACATTTCATTTTGTTTTCACAAAGTTGACTCTGTCTACAACGGTGCATTCCCCTTACTTTTACCTGAAATACATGCATAAATTCCTTCTAAAATATTGCCATCCACACTACTTGGTTTATACAGGCAGGTGACAAATTAAAACCCCTGACCCCTACAGTGAAGTGATTTGGTGGCTCTTGGAGCTATTTTACTAAGAGAATAAGGATCCACTTGTCCCCTTAGAGGGAAATCAATACAGAATGGTTGTGAGAGATTAGCCTTTATCCTGTGATGAAACATTTCTATCCCGATGAGTGGTCTCTTCCAGGATGATGAGACTCCAATCTATAGGGGTCACTAAATGGTTTAATAAGTATGAAAATGTGATGTGAATCACATGGAATGATTTGGATGTATTAGACACATCTTTTTACCACAGTCACTAAAACATAAAGATACTTTCTGTTTTGTTTTGTTTTTTTCCCTTAATTTGCCATTGTCTTTATTCTGATAAAGGTCTCCATCTTTGTTATACTTTAAGCAGGTGTCTCCTGTTTAGACTCAAGGATCAGACAGATCCTTCTCATTCATGTGCTCAGAAAAAACAGAGAAGGGCATTTAATGTAAACAGCAATGCTTTATTTCTAAATGATAAGAATGAAAAATCTGAAAGCAAGCAGACATTTATTAAGAAGACAATATACAGTACTGTGGATGGGGTAATTTATTGAAATGCACTGACATAAAATGTATATGTTTATACAGTGCTATTGATCTTGAAAGTCAATATTGAACCTTTATTCTTCAAAACTGCCTGAACTCTCTTAGATAAGCTCTCCTGTACTTTCTTTAAGTAAGTAGTCTTCATGAATAGTTCTCCAGGCTTCTTGAAGGACATTCAAAGCTCTTCTTTGGATGTTGGTTGTTTTGTTCCATTCTTTGTCAAGATGATCGCACACTGCTTCAGTAATGTTAAGGTTGGAAGTCTGAGGACATCAGCCCGTGGCTGATAGAGGCCCATTATGTGTTTTTCTATCCAGGTATGCATTTCTTCTTTGGGATCATTGTTATGCTGATAAATGAAGTCATTGTCAGCCAGATGTTTTCCAGATGGTACTGCATAGTGGCACTTTTTTGTGTTCCCAATTCTATCAATTTTGACAAGATTCCCATCAACACTGGCTGAAATTCTGCCCAAACAGATGGTTGTAGACACCGACTGTTGTACCTCTTTCTTCAACTCCGTATATATACACTATCTTCAGCTTATGGCCCCCACAGAGTCCTGATCTCAACATCATTGATTGTGTCTGGGATTACATGACGAGACAGAAGGATGCGAGGAAGCCTACATCCACAGAAGATCTGTGATCAGTTCTCCAGGATGTTTGGAACAATCTACGAGCCGAATTCCTTCAACAACTGTGTGCAAGTGTACCTAGAAGAATTGATGCTGTTTGGTCACACCAAATATTGATTTGATTTAGATTTGTCTTTTGTTAATTCAGTGCACTTTGATGTTTAATGAAAATAACTGATTAACATTTCCATTTTTGAAATCATTCTTTGTTTACAGCATTTTTTTCTCACCTGCCTAAAACTTTTGCACAGTACTGTGTAATTGTTTTCTACATTCAAAACAAAAACAAATTATTTGTTTTTGTGACAGGCAGCTAACTAAGCACCTAAAATACAATTAAAATTGGTTCTTTGCTTATAGCATATGGCACTGGTTCTTCCCTTGCACTGGGTGACTTTTTAATGCTTGACTGATTCATAAGTCAGTGCTGTCTTTTAACGACCTTTGGAAAGCCTGGAGAATTACTATTATTATTTTTTAAAGGCCACTTTAAAAAATTACAAAAGTCTGACTTCTTGGAACCAAAATATAAAAACATAAGGGGTGGATCAAGAATTTTGCACAGTACTGTATGTTAGTCCGGTAAAAAAAAAATATTAATGAATAATGCACATATAAATCTGCATATACATATACATATTCATATATTTTGGTTAAAAATCTCATTAAAGTGTGCAAACCAGAGTTCTGCTCATTGAAATCACATTTTTTTCCTATGATTCTGTGTTTTTTCCCCAAAAATGTTAAATTCTCAACCAAACAACAAAAAGAAATAAAGAACAATATTAATGAATTCATGTTTTCGCATACTCTCGTACATTTAAATATTTACTAACCAATTATATTTTGGTGACTCTGAGTAACTCATGACTCATGATGTAAGAGTAAAAACAGTGGAAGTGAAAACAATAACGTTTTAGGTTGTAACTAAAAGTATGAGCTATAAGATGTTGTAAAGAGAAATGTCAGGTGATCATTCCCTGTTGCTTTGTCACTTCTCTCAGATAAATACAGGTGTGTGTGGGATCTGTTCTTATGAATTTAGATACTAATGATAAAGTACAGAGATTTGAAAAATAATCATCCTTTGAAAGAATGAAATGCTTTGCTTTAATATTCGACTAGGCTATAAAAATAAAATTTAGCATGTTTCTTTTTCTGTTTGTTCAACACAAAGTAAATCAATATCAATCAATCAATCAATCAAAATTTGTTTACTCAGTGACGCGGAAGAAAATGTCATCTTAACAGTTTAAAGTCATGAGTGTCAAAATTCAGCAGTGTTCCTTCCTACTTTGCTTTATGTCAGCGATGTGATCAAAAGTGTTTCAAAATAGAAATGAGAGCAGAACTAATTTTTGTAACAGCAGGTGACCTAGTGTCCTCCTGAATATGAACAGCTTCACATCTTCCATAAATTATATAAATCTCCTTTTGGGTGAACTCGTGCTGTCTTTGTTGGTTTAATGAACTTGGTTTGATTTTCCTGATGAGAGAGTCAACTGTATATGATTACATGAGGCCTAATTGTTTGATATTATTTCATTCTACTGTATTTTCCATGTTCCGTCTTTAAAAGTATTAGATGCTGCAATGACCCAGTTTCCCAATACTGGTCAATACAGTTTCATTTTTTTTCCCCGTTGACTCAGTTCATCAGTGCTGCTTATGATAGGATCAATAGAAGCGAGGGAGAGGTGAGGTGGTTCACTGGTGTGTGGTGGTGCCACAGCATCAAAGCATTTCAGAGTGGAGTGGTTCGATAGCTTGTTAGTATGCCTGACAATTTCATCGCAACGTCTGAAATGCAAAAGAAGACACACTTGCTCTAAATTTAAATCTCCCACTTTTTTCAGCTGAGACTGAGTTAAGACTTGCATTGCATATGTACAGTAGTCTTTGCCATAAGAATATAACTCTGTAACACCCAGCCTTCTATTCCTTTCAGCAAAATTTGCATCATTTTTCTTTTTCATTTTTGCAGGGGAAGTGAAAAAGGCGGATACTGTATCTTGCACCGCTCAGGTAAGTTTTTGTGAAATAATGCAGTTCACCTTTAGTTCCCCTCTATCCTCCTCAGTCATGTCGGGATTGATTGCATGAGATAGACCTGTTTTTACATTCAAAATTTCATGATCTGGCATACTCAGTGGATCAGTCAGAACCTCAAAGGGGACACCAGGATGAATCCAAGATGAAGAAATGTGAATGCTCCAGCTCTCAGCCTGCCCAAAGGTGCCTGTGGGGAGGGAACTAAATGATCAGTTTTGATATTTTACCAGTTTGCACAGTGTGGTGCTGAACACAAGTGACATGGCCAAAACTATGGCTTCTTAAAATGTCACAATGTCTGAATCCATTTAAAGTCATTTTTCTGCAGCGCTATCCAACTGGGCAGCAGACCTTCTAAGAGGTTTGCTGTCCTGTAAATAACAAAAAAAAAAAAAAGGAAATTATTTTTTGAATTTTGCTTTCAGTTTTCTGTGCAATTCAGTCAGTGGATGAAACTTCATTAAAATGCATCTATCTCAAAGTGGTGGTTCAAATTGAGTTTTAAAAGGATATTTATATGTCTCTGTGATGAAAACTTGATATCAAACACATTTTCCTAAGGACTCCAGCTTCAGAAGGCTCCCACTTTACTGTTTCCAGCTGGTTTGTTTAAACATCCTCTTCTGGTTTGGAAAGAAGCAATTACAATTCTAGTCAAACTGTTACAGCTCTTCTGCTCCAGTTGCTGCCACACAAACCAGCACGAAACCAAACGGCAGGTACTGCTTATTTAATTACTAGTTTAAATGATACCTAATGGGTATTTGAAGCTGAGAGAACATATACATAATACAGAAAGAATTGACCCCCAGCCCCTCCAGTTGGTCAGTAGAGCCATGTCTCTCACACTGAATTCATTAACATTAATGCTGTTTTGTTTAATAAAGTCTAGAACAGGAGGATTGACATGTGCAAAATGTCACCTACCTATGAATTCTCCTTGTGCACTCCAAAGACGCACCGTGTAGTCAGTGGATGAGGTAAGCACCACTTGATCATTGTCAACAACGTGCAGGCTGGACCAGAATAAAGAGACATGAGATGAAATGGGATAAGGAATTTCTGGAGGAACACACTAAATCATCTACCCTGTTGGTACGTAAGATGGCAGATGCACCGTGGGCAGCTTCTCACCTATACTGATTGTACGTTTAAGCCCTTCCCACATGCAGTCTCTTCTATACTTTGTTTATGTACTGCAGCAGCAGGAAGTTACCGGTAAGCTGTTTCTGTTGCTGCTGCTGCTGCAGCTGCTGCTGACACCTCAGACTGAGAATGAGTGGATTCACTAAGGATGTACCCATGAGGAATTTTAAGCATGCAACTAACTAAAACTTAAACACACAAAGAGTCTAATTCAGTCAGGTCCACTATAGTCAAAAAAGGGATGGCATTTCCAACTGTAGTAATTTATATTTCATGGCATGGCTCTTTTCCGTGCCTTCCTACACTTTCAAATGCATACATGTAAAGCCAGAGCTGGGGAGAGCAGCAGCAAGACCTCTGAGCAAAAAGAGCAGGCACCAGTGATAACACATATGACACTGATTAAGTTAGACACAGCATGAAAAGAGGAGCTGGCCTGGAGGTGGGTTGCAAAGCAGTTTGCAGATACACGGTAAAGCAGACTAAAACAGCTTAAATACCATGTCCTATATGAAATGTGTGAATTGGATCCTAGAAGAGTGGCTTGTGTGGGCTGGTACTGATGTCAGCTGCCTGGCTTGAGACTGAGCTTGATTTTGTGACCCGCCTGAATTTATGCTCTATTTCTGTATTTTACATACCCAGTAACTGTGTTGGTGTGGGCGCGCCAAAAGGTTTCAGCTAAAGGAATAAAGGAAAAAAAAGTGTCCTGATAAAGACAATATCTAAATTTCACCATTTGCAAAACGAAAGAAGAAATCAAAGAAAAAATAATATACTAACCTCTTAGTGATTTCTTCTCAGGGTCTAGCTTTGCCATGCTGTAGACATAGATGTAACCAATTCTGTCAGCCATGTACAGCAGAACATCCTTCTCTGCTTTGGCCAGTTTTGTTATCTTTTGTTGAAATTTGGACTGAAAAGTGCAGATGAAAATAAAAATTGGAATTTACTTAATACTTCTGTACAGACCGATCACTGATTATTCAAATTCATTATTTGGTAATGGCTCTCTTCAGCTCAAAGGAACAGAATAAAAGGAACAAAATCAAACAATAACAGTTATCTCCCCCGTCGTGACCAAATGTTAGCTTCCCCACCGAGGGACTTAATAGCCTACATTTCACTGAATAACGTTCCTCTTCAAATAATATGACATATACATAATAGAATAAAAGCTGTGTTGACTGTTAATAAAAAAATTGCAAGTGTGCGACCCATTGATGGTTGGTTAATAAACACAGGTGAAGCCAACAACTGTTTTGATTCTGAAGATTTTTGCAGGTCATTTGTGTTAATATCTTTGTGCTGCTTCTTGTGTTATTTGTGCTGACTTAAGCAGAATTGCTTAGGCACACATTGCATTTTATTTCAGGTTTGAGGAGGTTGGAGAACTGCTTGGATGTCCTCATGTTCACCCACCTCCCAAAGCAAGAGGCCCTGCTTTGCATTACTTAGCTGCAAGGAATGTACCTGGTAGTTTCTTAAAATCTAGAGCTAAGCAAAGAACATGCAGACTATATATTATCTTGATTTTTATTCAGCTGTTTTAACAATAAGAGAAAGAAAATAAGTATTCCTTGATTGCCAAAAGGGAAACAGGGAAACGTTGCAGAGTAAAAGATCTTACAGCTTTGAAGCTGCTAACAAACTTTCCTCTGCCGAGCACATTCCAGAGATTTACACAGCCTTTAAGAAGAGAAAAATATATAATTAACATTATAATGGAGGACACTGTAAGGTTGCACAAGTGCAGTCTTGCTTATTAGACCTGTTTATAGCACTGACCTTCGGCCCCAGATGACAGGAGAGCTGTAGTTGAGGAAAGCTCTTTTAAATAGGAATCCTTCAGGAAAACTATGCTTGGAACACTTGTATCCAGACCTAATTGAGAGAGAGAAAATGTGAGACAAATGCAGTGATTTGATCACATTAAATTTCACGTTGAAGCTCCAAAATCACCTTTAACATCTTGCTGTTCAGGTACAATGGGACTAACAAACCGACACTGTATACGTCCAGAATCCACGTTCCACACTATAATCTCGCCATCAGAGCTGCCAGTGGCCACAAAAGATGGGGGACACTGTGCCACACAAAGGATGTCATCCTTATGGCCATTTTTCTGTAGAGAGGCAAACTGTTAGTCTTGGTACAATTGCAAAAAGATTAATTTGTTAATCCTAAACCCAAAACTGCAATTCAGTCTGAGTTATTCAGAGTAATTATCCATCTTTACACAAGGTTAAATGCATAGCTTATGGTTATATTTATGGAGGGGGGTATTGTTAGCATATATAACAAGTAATATATAAAGATTTAAAATATCATGTCACATTTCACCTCTGACACTTCATTTAAGGGGAATAGACTGATCGGAAGGTCAAAGTGATTGGAACACTATGTTCAATCAGTAAAACTATGTTCTATTTTTTTGGGATTGATAACATATGCGCACACACACACACACAC